CCAGCCGGGGAAGCGGCGGCGGCGTCGTTGAGCAGGGTGGTGGCGAACCTCAAAGCTAAAACCGACCCGGAGAGCGGGCAGATCGTTTTGCCACCGTCCGCGGTTACAAGGACGTGGATCGAGGCCGAGAAGGCAGTCACCGACGTCGTGGTCTCCGGCAAGGGCAATGGTTATGCCCCAAGCATCGGAACTTCTGACGCCAAAAAGTGAGTCACTCGGATCTTGATTCATTATGGATTGCTAGTTATTAATTCCACGTGGCATATCTTAGGCCAGAGTAGTAGCCGACCTAGAAAAATTATAATGGGGAGCAAATTTAATTTTATCATGGCAAACATCATTTTATAATTGGTTCTTTATCAAATGTAATTAAAATAATATAAATTTTATAAAGAAATTATATTTTTTTAAATCAAACAAACGGGTGTCAATCTGGATTCGCACATGGGTCCGAGGATTCGACCTTGAAAGTGGGTGAAGGACCATTAACATGTCTCTTTTCCAAACAACAATGATATATGGTTTTATTAGAGATGTGTTAGTGTGTGTGTGTGTATACATGTATATAAATTTTAATGATTAATGGTTTATGGTTATTGATTGGATTTGTTTTGTCGCGTTTTATCCAAGATGAATTTTTTGATTTTTTTTATTTGCGTTCCTCGATCTCCTATGTCAGGGCCGTTGCCGATTATCTAAACCGCGATCTCGAAGGACAGAACTTCAAGCTGAAGCCGGAGGATGTTTTCATGGCGGCGGGATGCAAACAGTCGATTGAGATTATAATAGAAGTCCTCGCCAAACCAAGGGCCAATATTCTTCTTCCTCGACCGGGTTTCCCTCGTTACGACGTCCGAGCACTCTACAGCCACATCGAGGTCCGCTACTACGACGTTCTTCCCGACCAAAACTACGAGATCGATCTCGACCACGTTCGACGAATCTCCGATAAGAACACGTTCGCCATCTGCATCATAAACCCCCATAATCCTTGTGGCAACGTCTACTCGGGATTTCATCTTAAGAAGGTGAAGCTCTTTTTTATAATACATAAATTTATCGAAATTTAGGTGAATGTCACTCTTCAAGTGAAGATTCGAACTAAGGAGTTTTGTTCTATTCATTATCAACTGAGTTGTCCAAACTTTAAACCCTTTTTTTTCAAAAATGTTTTTTTTATTCAAGATTATGTAACATTCTAAAATATTTAATCTTCGGTTATGTAACTGATCAGCTCGCCGAGTTGGCTCGTAAGGTGGGGATGATGGTGATATCGGATGAAGTGTACCGTTGGACTGTGTTTGGGGAGAGACCGTTCGTTCCAATGGGGAAGTTTGCATCGATTGCTCCGGTGGTCACCCTCGGGTCCTTGTCCAAAGGATGGGGAGTCCCGGGATGGCGAATGGGCTGGGTCGCATTGAATGACCCCGAGGGCCTATTCAAATCCACGAAAGTCCGTCCATTTTTTTGATCTTTCCC